TAGGTGGACTACAGGAGTTTACAACTTCATCGGCAGTATCTGTACTACTGGGCATTTTGCGCAAGCACTTGATAACAATAACAATCAATAACAAGGTATAACAATAACAACGACAAACTCAACAACTTAATAAGATAACAAACGAAAACGTCCAAAGAAATATCAAATTGCAATGATGCACACGACATACGTAACACGTCTGAACCTGAATGTGACTCTGCCTTGATACGACTGCTCTGCCGCTCGGTATAGGCATTTAATTGCGAATTGACCAATGAGGGCTCCTGTTTTACGTCGAGACGGCGGGGTTAGCGTGAAAATCACCCGAACCTTTTGTTTACATCCGGTCTATCTCTTATCTGAATATACTGTAGTGTGTCATTGGGTAGCTCTTTTTACGTTAAATAGAAGTTATTATGAAGCATAGTTTCAAATCTTTGTCCATGCAAAATTATACAGTACTTTGTATGCACATACGAGTATGTAGGTATATGTTATAGGCAACACCCGTTCTAGTTTTGACTAAGAGGCTTTGTCAGGACTAGAATTAACTGCTGCTAAAAAATGAATGTCAGTTAAAATTAGTTCTTGCTAGACTAAACAAACGCCTATTGTCAGACTTCACTTCAGATATCCTACCATGGTACTAAAATAATTTTAAGCCTTCGCTACATTGGGCTTTTTGGGGTTTAGCATTGGCCAAACTCAAACTAAGACCCAAACTAAAACTCAAACCAAAACCTAAAGCAATGAGCAAACTGTTTGGGTTATGGTTTGGGTTGTTGGTTAGGATTGTGGTTTGAGCTTAAAATTCAAATAGATATAATAATAATAAAACGTCTTTATTTGGCGAAGTTTAGCATGCGCTCATCTATCTACCTCTTCCACTTAACCCGTGCTTTAATAGAACTAGAATTAACTGCTGAATGTCAGTTAAAGCTAGTTATAACTAGGAAATCCTAGTTTTAACATAGGCACATAGTCAAAGCTAGTTTTAACTGTTCAAAACTCATAACTAAAAACGGGTTTTAGCTGCATATACGAGTATATTCTCCTTGTGGACAAAAACTCCATATCCAGCTATTAACACAAAAATTATGTAACACAAAATCTATACTATCTTGAGATTTTTGGTGACCCGACAAAGGATAATGACAAGACAAGTAGAAAAAGAACGACGATGGCCTTTGTCCGTTCTGCAGGGGTATTACGTAACTTGGAAAGTTACATTACGTAGGTTTTTTGACATTATGTAGGTATTATATGACATTATGTGGGTTTTCCTACAGGACCACAGATCATACAGATACGACACCTGCCGTCGGTCAGGCAAGTCATCGTTGGTTGTCAGAGCGGTCAGTGGGACCTTAGCTCTTGAGTCACAGTGTCAGTTTGTAAGTCTGTCAGGTCTGGTAACCCAGAAACCAGACAATTTTAAGGAAAAAAGGGAAAGGAAAGGAGAGAAGGAAGAACGAGAGCAAAGGGGAAGAAGAGAATCTTTTAGGAAACTGCCGTCGGTCCCTTTGATCTTCCTGTCCACAAATGCTTACCACATTTCCCGCTTATGTTCATTAACGTCCGAATGATTTTTTCCTAGGGGTTGTTAGGCTTTATTAGCCTGAAGTCCGAATGTCATACGTCAAGCATTAGAATTAAGAAATTTATTTGTGTTTATCATATACCCACATGACTTTTGGCGAGATAATTATTATTTTTGTTTCTTGAAAATCTTTTTATATTAAATATAACCAAAGCCAAAAAAACACGAATGATTTTGATAACCGTTGAATCCTAAATGTCACATTAACACGAATCTCACCAATTGCATAGGACATAAGTTGATAGAACCTGATTTTTGACAGAGTGTCGCATCTGGTAGTACTCTGTGACAAGACGTCAACGGCCGTTCACTTCATTGCTCATTTGTAGGTTTTTTACGACGGCCACCAAAATGTGAAGTAGTATAAATTTTTTGTATTTCATATTTTTTTACGTTAAAAGCTGGAGTAACCGAGAAAGTTGTTAGCAAAGTCCAAATATGTCACTTGCTGTTTGCCTCAGTAGACGTCAAAATGGATGTATACTCGAGAAAAGTAATATACAGGGTGTAAACAACATTTCGACTATTGCTATAACAAATTTTTATAAAGTACTGTATAATAATTCTGAATGGAATAAGATTCGAAACTAGGCGCCATAAATAACTTCTATTGAGCTCCAAAAGAGCTACCCATTGACGCACTAAACCAAAATTTGCATCACCCTTTGACTATTTTTGTTGGTTCCAGTTTTATCAAAAACTATCTGTTCGATTAATACTAGAAATAAACAATAAAATCGACCGGCCGCGACAGTATTTTCTACCGCTATCACCGAACTCCCACCAAGATCAATTTATGAACACCGTGACAATCATCGAGCGGGTCAGCCAAACAGGTGCGTACCATTTAAATTGTGTTATTACAGGGAGGGAGGGCAAATAATAGACGTGGGTATGATATATCCAGCTGTGCCTCTGCCAGCGATTTGTGTTTGTATAAATCGGCGTTAAGCCCCCCGGAAAGGGACGAGGGCGAAATGTGGAGTGGACGGTGCTAAGCCCTCTAGGCGTTAAAGGGATTTTAAAATTTCAATTACGGTTCAAACCTCCGGAATTAAGTCCGGATTAAACTTACATTTTCGTGAAGGGTGTGGACGATCAAAGTATAGTGGTGGTTTGATCTCCAATGTGAAGGGCGTTGTAGAAAAATTGAGGACTGCGACCGAAACAAAAATATTTTTTGCGCATTGATTTTTTAAAAACCAAATGTAAGACAGTCCAAAAATATATAACTAAACATATGGAAAATAAAGGTTCTAAGGTTCTGACACACAAATAATTCCGGGCTCAAATAATCGTTACCAATAATGCCGAAAAGCTTTTAAAAACTATATTTGAAATAATTAAACATTTCTTTGGGATTTTCTGAACAGATCATCGAATTTATTGAGGGAAATAACATTTTAACCAAATTTCAAGCTGGATTCAAGAAGAAACACAAGTGGTTTTAGAGGACTGGAGGAGATGTATCGGGTATGGCCAATAGGAAACATAGAGTAACAGTGTCTTTGGACTTCAAAAGGGCGTTTTAGACTATTGACAGAGATAAATTACTTACAAAATTGCATCACTACGGATTTAAAGGATCTGTATTCAAAATTCTACAAAACTGCGGAAGTCAAAAAACCAAATATTTATAATATTTTAGATTATTGTAAAATTCAGATATTTGCAGATGATACATTAATATACATATCAGATGAAAATATAGACACTGCTTTAAAAATGCTAAATTCTGACTTGGCAAAAATCGTAAATTGATTAAATGTAAATAAACTAAAATTGAATACTTGCTAAACAAAATGTATGCTAATAGGGAAATACCTAAATGAAAATACTATCACAGTTAGGTTAAATGGAGAAATAATTGAAAATGTTGAATCAATTAAATATTTAGGTATGTATATTGATAGTAAACTAAAGTTTGAGGATCATCACTATGAATACATTATTTCAAAAATTGCCAAAAAACAAATTACTTTCATAGGGCTTCTCATAGTTTTGGTACATATTACAAGAAAATAGTTTATAATACAATTATTCTACCGCATTTACTATATTTTTCAACTATCTTGTTCACTGTCAATAAAGCTATATTCTCAAAATTACAAGTCATGCAAAATAAAGCTACGAAAATAATGTTGCATAAAAATAAGTACACCAAAATAAAATCTATATTACAAGAATTGCACTGGTTGAATATAAAAAATTTCTTATCATATTTGGTTCTTATTTTTATATTTAAAATAAAAAATTATCTTTTGCCACAACATTTAGAACATCAATTCAATTATTATACAAGAGGAAATATAGATTTTCATTTACAAAATTGCAGTAGTAATACAACTAGCAAATCAAAATTTCAGAAAGGATTACTTGAATTTAATAAACCAAATAATGATATAATGTCTACTTGTAATTTAAAGATGTTTAAAAGAAAATTAAAGGAATATTTCATGGACAGTGAAAATTCTTAGAGACGCAAATTTTGTTGTTTTCTAAATATCTGCATGTTATTTAATTATTTAGTTTTTTAGAATGTAATTGTAGCAATCAAGCTAAATAAATCTAACAAACAAACTAAGGCATATAATAATAAAAATCATAGAATTATCAGCAGTCTGAATACAATAATGACTTACTAAAATTTCTGAGCATCTTTTACTAACGAGATGGAAAATTACAATGAAGAAGAGAATGCCCGATATTTTTATTTTGATTTTCAGCAAGTACACCGACACCCATGTATGAGATTTCAAGCAAATTAGTATCTTTATATAAGGAATACATTTTTTTCTGAATTTCTATTTTACGTGTAAATCCGCAACAACCCGCATATGTCATAACTGAATTTATACTTAAATATTATGTTTAGGTAATTATGTGGCCGAATACCGTTATCCTAAGGTACCGGTATTTACAAAAAGAAGGAGACGAGAGTAAAATATAGGGATGTGACATGCAGTGAAGAAATCGATTACTCAAAAATCTTTCTCTTTTCAGTATAATAAATCAATCTGTTTTATAAGGGTAGATATCACGCATTTCGTGAAAATTTATTCTGGTTAATCAGAACCTTAAAAAAAAACATTAATGATTGAAGTACGGATATCGTATACGAGGGATGTCTTTTAAGGTTTGCATATGGAAATAAAACAACACGGTAGGTAGTTTAAAATGACTTTACTGTTTTTCGAAGTATTCTCTACGAAGATTAATACACATCTGGATGCGCTCGAACCAATTTTCGGAGCACTTATTCCACTCGTTTGCTGGCAGATCCAAAACGGCATTTTTGAATGCGTCAACTGCTTCTTCTGGTGACTGGACCTTTGACCACGCAGTCTGTTTTTAATTTTCGGGAAAGTAAAGAAATCGTTAGGACTTAGATCGGGAGTATATGGAGGATGGTCCAATAATTCCACGTTTTCTTCCGTTAAATACTGTGTGCGAGCTTGCATTGTCTTGGTGGAGGATGATTCTTCTTTCGGGGTTGATTTTTCGAAGCTCGGTGATGACTTTTGGCAAACAAATGGTATTATACCAATCCGCAGTAACAGTCTTTTACTCACCAAGATGACGCAATATGACCCGCTTTTGACACAAATGTCGCGACCATCTTTTTCGAAACACTTCGAGAATTGATGACTTTTGTTGGCTTTTCTTCACCTTGGAACACCCAAACAGCCCACTGTCGTTTATTTTCTGGTTCCTAACAATAAACCCACGATTCATCACCACTAACAATGCTGTAGGTACACATTTTTTGAGTTTCCCGAATTGAAACGGTCAAGCGTTTTTTGACACCAATTACCCTGGCTGCTTTCTGCTCTTCAGTCAACAGGTGGGGTATCTAACGAGAAACTAATTTTCTTACTCCTAATCCTTCATGTAAAATTTTTTGAATTGAGGTCTTTGAGATCTTCAAGGACGCTTCAATCTCGTGATATGTCACATGTCTATCTTCAATGATGAGTTTGCGCACAGCATCGACGTTTTCCTAGGTGACTGCCGTTTTTGATGCACCCACCCTGGAATCGTCGCTAAGACTCACCCGTCCACGTTTCAATTCTCCATACCAACGGGAAATTGTCGACTGATGTGGCGCTTCGTTGCCGAAAACAGACAATAACTCAGCAAGGCATTCTTGTTGCGATAATTGTCTCTGAAAGTTGTAATAAATTATGACGCGAAAATGTTCTCGGTTGAGTTCCATTTTTCTAATGGCTTGGTGACACTCAAAAATTCACTGTAGTGAGGACACTGCACGTATTGTTGTGAAACTTTGCGCGGCCTTCTATGTTTCTATATGCAAAACTTAAAAGACATCCCTCGTATATGGACACATCTTGAAAATATGCTGCATTATACAGTTTAACCGCATATCAAAGTTTTTTTTATATCAACTGACCCATATTTTATTGTATTGTAACGCGCTCGTAACTAGAACAATGAGACACGTTCCTAACGTCGAAGCTTAGGCAACCAATTACGCGACCGTGCGCCATCGCGATCGAGTTTACGCTCAAAAGTGTTCGGCATAATCGCAAAACGCTTGAAGTATTTCTAGACTCGTCCATAGGGGAAGAAATATAGGCGGAAATAGATCAAGTTATAGTTCAGTCGACATGGTTATACATTTGTCATAAATTAGTTGGAAGTCTTGCGATGAATTTGTGTAAGTGTAATAAATTAGACTTTGAATAGTCAAAACTTTGTTTTCATTAGTGTATTTGGATAAATCATTCTTTGGGGTCTTTACCGGCCCCCGTAGGTCCCCAGCGCGCACAAGGGGACGCTATCGCCCACTTCGAGAAACACTGGGATAGATTCTTTCAAAAGGAAAAAATTGACATGTTTTGCTTATTAGTTATTGGGTTATAATCTAATTGATGTACAACAATGCTCAATTCTGACACCTCGCGTCTACTACTACTACTCTAAGAGATACTGAATCGCGTGTTGTGTAAAACATTTTCCTGATAATAAATCTGTTTGTCGTTTCTACACGGTGATCAAAAACTAAAAACACTTTTTTCCAAAATTTCAAAAGAACACCATGAACGAGTTTTTACAAACATCGCACAGACAGTGCAGTTTGCATAAGTTGGTTAAAATATATAATTCACGCAATCGATTTATTAAAAATTGTTTTTTAATACTAAGAAATCCGATAATTCAAAATCGATTAAATCGAAAAAATAATTGATCAAAATGAAAATCGATAATCTTCCAAAATAATCCTACGCAAGGCTGGAAAACTCATAGCGAAACATGCTAGAAAATAGCAAAGAAATTCAGCTTTGTTGCAGAGGTCATTTTCAAACGTCAAGCAGATGTAAAAGTGGAAGAAACAGGTGATGGCCGCTTAATCTCCTCTTTTTCACCACAAGTGATAGTGCCTCGGCTACGTCCCTGTCCATAGAGAATCGGTCAAAGAAAACTCGAAATGATTTTTCAAAGAAATATATTTAGTTTCACTTAAAAATAACGCTAAGGTGAAAAAGAAAAATATATAAAATGCCATATTAAACAATACTGTATATATGAATTTAGCTTGAATTGAAGAGCGAAATGCTTAAGTTGCTTCTTAAATGCGTATCTATATAAAGCTTCTTTGGACAATACTGACCAATAACACGTAGCTTATAAATACATAGCTGGCACTTGATAAGGCTTAGCAGAAGAATTACTTGGTAACTTCATGCATTGCGTGTGCAAGGTATTCCACGTTTTTCGATGTGACACCAGCCATCGAAATACGACCATCTTTGGTAAGGTAGACGCTATGTTCCTTAATTAATTTTTCGACCTGTAAAAGAAATAATTATAACATAAAAGCGTTATTTGCAGCCACTCAATCATGACATTCTTTTCTGTCACGAAATCCTCTTTTTTCCGCCACGAGTGCAAATGACGGCAATATTTCAGTCAGGACTGTTGACTTGTCAACTTGACACGCACAAATACGTAATGAAGTGACAATGTTTTCCAACTACTGTCCTGCCATAGCAAAAATCGAGATGAAAATCCACTATTGTGACAGGAGAGAATGGCATGAAAGAACGTTCCGGTATGGGCTACAATCGTCTATTACAAAAGTTAGGTATGTCGTGCATTAGACCACCCAGGGCCGGCTTCAGAGTTTTGTGCGCCCTGAAGCAAAGAATAAAATATGCCCCCTTTCCACCAAATTGAGAATGTTTGCGTCCTCTCTGACATTGCGCCGTGAGGCGGCTCCCTCACTTGCTTAGCGCCTGTAGCCGGCCCTGAGGCCACCGGTAGCGGCGACCGAATAGCTGCCCGCCCACTGAGGCGGAGCGACGCGAAGAGAATCGCGGCGACATTTGTCATTTGCACGCGTCAAACATGACACGTATTTTCCCATCCGTTATTTGATTGTGTGTAAAGGAACCCAGCGGAAGCGTTACGCTTGACGATGCTCTTAGCTTGCACACTCCTCAATAAGCGTACATCATAAAGTTACTAGGAGGTGTAACAAGTTGGAAAATACAATTTTTTGTTTTATGGTATCGGTGCTAAAATGAGTGCTTCCGAGCCAAACGCTAAGTCCGTCCAAATTCGGTCGTTATCCACTAATCGATGAAAATTTGGATACGTCTAGTTGCTCAGCTTGACCACTACAGTGTAAAGTATAGTGATGTCGACTTGTGGCAGTTACAGATAACATAATCTGCGTCAACTCTTATACAAGACTAAATTATCACGTATTTGAACTTTATTGTTAACTTACCTGTTCAGGTATCATTCCCGTGAAACAGAACATACCAATCTGATTTGTAATATGCTCCCAGTTGCGAGATGAACCTTCTTTCTTGAGGTTGTCTCGTAGTTTGGTACGGACGGAGATAATTCTGTCGGCCATTCCCTTCACTTCTTGTAGCCTGTGCAAATTATTAAAAAGTATATGTAAGAGTTATTCGGTTGCCAACATCTTTTGCCTCAAAAAAAGCTCGAGGGGAATAGAAATTAATCAACCTCAGCTTATAAGTATTATGCATGCCGATCTTCAAATATCTAATAAATCGAAATTCCATCCCTAACAGTTCTTTTTGATACAAATTCAGACATCCAAATCGCGTAAACAAATGGATTCTATGGTTTGTATACTAAGGGATTTTTGCCGATACCGATATTTCAAAAGCGATATTATCCGTCTACCGACCATTCATACTTTTCTGTACATAATCGGCACGGGTATTACGTATCTTGAAAAGTGACATTATACCGATTTTTTTGACATTATGTAGGATTTTCTACAAGATGTTAACTTAGCACTAGCTGATAGACACGTTGTGAACTCGTTTTGTAATTGTACGTGTTGCCTAAACTTCATGAGGCTTCATTTATCAATGTTTGGCTCTGATGTGATGTCAGATCTGCTTCAGAGATGACATTACTGAAGGTCTAAGCTGTAAGTTGTATGTGTTGATGATAATTAAATTGAATTCTTGTCTCAAATACACTTACTTGAGATTCAAAGCTAGAAATTAGTCTCGCATCCACTTTTTCTTGTCCATTCTGGAAATTACATATGCAAATTTGATGAATTTCAAAAATGAGTTAGATACGAAATAATTATATTCACTGTACACTGTCGAATTACAAGTCATATAAATGCTAACAATAATTACACACAACGCGGGCGCGGTGATGATTTCCCGTAATTCTCCTCAAAGTTTTTCGTAATTTATAATATTGAACATAACCTGTCTTCAGAAAGGACAGCATATATATATATATATATAACTCGTCGGGCACATCTCATAGATATACTTAATTGGCAGCATATTCAGTAATGGTTCTCTCACACAGCAAATATCACTGATTTTATACACATGTAGACCAATACACATAATCATCCAGATCCGATCTTGCTATTCAACCCACTTTCTTCTCAGAGATGAGAACTACAGCCCACTCGGCTTCACAAAACATATGCAACCAACAATGCGTGTAGTTTAGTTGAGTAATTCTTCCATAGATGGACACGTACACAATGATCCTAGTGAGCCAACGTGGAATGTTTGCGCCCTAAAAACTAACTAGTCTGCAAGATGACATCTTATAGGTTTTTTTTGACGTTTTATCGACTTTTTACATAATACCCATGCGGATGTGAGCATGTTTCTCCTTATGTTGCGTTGGCAGTAAGACGACTAAGTTAATCATAAAATGATGCAACCCCTATCATGGAACCGTTTTTGAAAAACGTATTTCAAAGAACCGATTGCATTTCAACATCCGCATAAGAAAACTTCCATTGTCAATCGCGACAGTAATATACATGCTCATGACGGCAAATATACGTTTGCGTACTTAATGTTCCTTTGTCTTCATTTTTCCTTTAACTGCTGTGGACACCTTTAAAATCTAAAAGAGAATCTTTAAATTCCAAATTACATCTTCAAAAGTCAACTAGAGTCTCAGGAAATTATTCTATAATGCCCGGTTTCGAAAAATTTCGTTTCGTGAAACGCAATGTTCACAAACCTAAGTTTTATTCTAGACATTTTTTCTGTCGCAAGCTAGTGCAGTTTCACAAGACAGCTTTCTCCAGTGTAAGTTGCATTTTGATTTGTTTTGAAGACATTTAGTTAAATACTGTACGAAAATATTTCGACAAAATATATGTATATATATTTTTTTTTCTCAATTTAATAATCCTTATTAAGTTTCTGATTTGTACCAGTGGGCCTGTATTATGGGAAGTTGAATCGGCCGATTTGTATATCTACAAATTAAACCAATACTGCCGATATATTAGTGCCGATACGTATCGGCTTCTACATAAAATTGCTTTATATCCATCCCTGCACACTATAGTTTCATAAAATCAATGTACAGGGTGAGTTTTAGGTGTAGGCTCGGTCGAGAACTTCGTTACTACCCCTGGTATCTACGTAGGTTAAATACGAAAATTGAAGCCAAAGATATGCTCCTGAGTTGGAAAATATGTTTATCTCTACAGGGTGATTTATAACTACATGGTGACCCAAACACGCATTTTTTTAAATGGAAAGGTTTACTTTTTATTGCAGAATTGGATACCTATGCAAGTTTAAACGAAGCAATTTGGCATAACATACTATACGGTTTCATTTTCTAATTATTGAGATACTGGATAATATATATATATATATATATATATATATTTACATCTCCATGTGGATCGGTAATCCTTTCAATTCCCAGCAATAAGTCACCTACCAGAAATATCGAATATATATCAAATTTGATTCGTGTATATCCAACAAAAAGGCAAACTGATCCAGGATCAGCTCAAAAAACTGTACATTAACATTTCGGATTTTCATATAAAGTCCGCTATATAGGTCTACCTTTTAAAAACCGTAAGATGTGTCCTCTACCGGAATACCCTTCAGATCACAAAACGGCATTCGGTCCCCCAGAATACTCAAATTAACTAAACACCAGTAGATAAGTCATCCGTGCAGTGGTGCCAAGTTTCATTTATTTCTCTTTACATAATACTACTGAAGTCTTCTAACTTGGACTTGTATTATTATATTATTTTTCAAGGATCTCCAATGGATATAACCAAAATTCTTTCCAGCAACTTTGAGTACACTATTTGCTCGATTAAGACTATACAAAACGTTGCTAGCATACGACAGAAGGATGCCCAACGTTTCGTAAATTATAACTTACCTATGCAAAAATTATCAGATCATCGAGCAGCCCACACAATCAAGAATACTTTTTTCTATTACATGTCCAGGAGGTTGTATGAACTTTCAGATCGAGCACTTTGCTTTTCCAATAGCCTATGTCGTATCGACGACATCCTAATGATGATAAGCTTTAGACGCGTAATTTCCAAATCTGTGATATTAGCAGTTGAAATACTTCCCTGCCCTCCGGTTCGCAAAAAACAGCATTGAGTATCCTAAAATACTTGAATTACCTAATCACTATACTGAGCCTTACAATCATGTGACGTTATCTTTGGATAAGGAAATCACCATTCATGTTTGGTACCATCTATCTATGAGAATATTCCTAATCTTGAAATAAAATCGTATATCAACGATTTTCTCTAATAGCTCAGACTTAACCATATAGTCACGCCAACCAAAAGCCATATGATACAATCGTCCATCAAAATACCTTCGGATTCACAAAAAAACAGCACTGAGTCTCCCAAAATACTTGAATTTACTAAACCCTGCTAGATCGGTCTTCCGTGCAGAATAAATACACTTCTACCCTACGATTCACAAGAAACCAGCACTGAGTCTCCCAAAATACTTGAATTTACTAAACACTGCTAGATCGGTCTTCCATGCAGAATACTCTTCTACCATACGATTCACAAGAAACCAGCACTGAGTCTCCCAAAATACTCGAATTAACTAAACACTGGTGGATCAATCTCCCATGAAGAATACTCTTCAATACGCAAACCAGTGCTGAGTCCTCCACAATACCCGAACTAGCTGAATGGCGTACGTCTGACGTCAGATCGGTCTCCCGATCATTTTAATTCCAGTCAATAAAGCGCGTGCGCCCGGGGATAGGGTTTGTCGGTTTGTCTAAGATCTGAGAATTCATTTTATTGGCACCAATCGTGCTGGAAGGACGTTCAAATCTGTTGTGTATTCAAGAGTGTGTCTGAAAGGACTGTTGAGGTAAGTATGACTTTTTGAACTCTTATGCAATCGTTAATAGGATATGATGGTAATATGACTGTATTACTTACATTTAATGGAAAAGCAATGAATATTGAGTAGCGTGAAGGATAAAACAATGCTGTTCAAAAGGTCAACCCCCATAAATTTTACGCCAAACTTTATCTAATCTTGTTGGTTTAGTTTTGTATAGGTGATTCTTGAATGTAAAGCTACAATGTTTTTTTTTTCAAGTTAAAGAACAGGGTCAAGTAGATTGAGTGTGACCATACATCACTGAAAATTTAAAAATAGAATACTTCAATCAAAGCTCATTTTGGCTTTTTTCTAGCTGCTGCTTTACATCTTTTTTAGGGTACATACCTGTATATGTACTGATTCCGTTTTTTGCATTATAATACAAAATCACTACAGACTGTGCTTTTGACTCACGGTGTCAAGTAGCTCGACTTATGTCTATGTAGACAATGATAATTTTAAACGGGAGATTGTGTTGATTATTTCCTATATGGTACAGTAGCGGGGTGATAAAATTCTAAATCTAAAATTGCAAATCAGAGATATCATGTTTTACTTCCCACGTCAACGGTCGAGGAAGTATTGTAATCGCAAGATATTTTGAAAGTGAGGTATTATGTTTTGTTGGATGCTATATGACATGTAGATCACGGAAAACCATGATACTCATTTCTGCTATAACGTGGAAAGTACCATTGGGACTTTGATGAAATTTAGACACAAGGTTGCTACGAGGCTATGGACAAGAAAGCTTTAGCTTTTAAAAATAGGTCCAGTGGCGTCAGAGAAAAGGGCCACAAACGAAAAAATAGAAATCGCTCAAACTTTGTTTTTTGACGATTCAGGGGCTCTTGATCATTATCCAAATAAATTTTGAGGGTTAGGAGTTGATGAGGGAGTGAATCGTAATTTCCTAAGGTTTTCTATCGGATCTATTTGACATATCTGACTTTATCAAACATTTGCGTAGAAAACAGGAAATCATACCTATTTCCTGTATCTGTACACTCAAAAATTTCTAGTGTTAATGCATGGATATAGTGTTTAATGATAACACATTACGTATTATTGAGTTTGGTAAAATTTCGAACATCATTCACTGGTATTGCTACTAGAATCAATTAAAAATAAAGTATTTTACTTTGACAATCAACATATACTATTGCTGCACGGAAAAAAATGGCTTGTGGATGTCAGTTCATTGGGAAAAAAGC